CTCACCAATTCCCTTCTGTGCCCCTGTGATGAACTTATAGGCAGCCACAAGGTCGCCTCTCAGCCTTCTCTTGCGGAGGCTGAAAAGGTCCAGTTTCTCTAGTCTCTCCTCGTAGGGCTTGGTCTTTAGGCCCTTAACCATATGAGTGGCCCTTCTCTGGACCCTCTCCAGGTTATCCGCATCCCTCTTGAAGTGCGGCGCCCAGAATTGCACGCAGTACTCCAACTGCGGTCTGACCAGTGCCCGATAGAGGGGAAGTATCACCTCCTTGGACCTATTTGTCATGCATCTGCTGATGCACGATAAAGTGCCATTAGCTTTTTTGATGGCTTCGTCACACTGCCGACTCGTGTTCATCTTGGAGTCCACTAGGACTCCAAGATCCCTTTCCACTTCCGTGCCACCCAGCAGGTCATTCCCTAGGCTGAAGGTGTGCTGGACATTTTTCCTCCCTAGGTGCAGTACTTTGCATTTGTCCTTGTTGAACTGCATTCTGTTGTTTTCTGCCCACTTGTCCAACCTGTCCAGATCTGCTTGCAGCTGTTCCCTGCCCTCCGGCGTGTCCACATCTCCCCATAGCTTTGTCTCATCTGGAAACTTGGACAAAGTACGTTTCACTCCCTCGTCCAAGTCACTGATGAAGACATTAAAGAGTATCAGTCCAAGGACCGAACCCTGTGGGACCCCACTTCCCACACCCTTCCAGGTCGAAACCGACCCATCCACCACGACTCTCTGGGTGCGGCCCTCCAGCCAATTCGCCACCCACCGGACTGTGTAGTCATCCAAGTCACAGCCTCTTAGCTTGTTCACCAGTATGGGGTGGGATACCGTATCGAAGGCCTTCCTGAAGTCTAAGTATACGACATCCACCCCTCCTCCTGTGTCCAGGCGTTTCGTAACCTGGTCATAAAAAGAAACTAGATTGGTCAGGCACGATCTGCCTGCCACGAACCCGTGCTGGTTTCCCCTCAGCATAATTTTTCCTGCCGGGCTCTCACAAATGTGAGCCTTGATAATTTTTTCAAAGACTTTGCCAAGGATGGAGGTGAGACTGACTGGTCTATAGTTGCCCGGGTCCTCCTTCCTCCCCTTTTTGTTGTACTGAGAAAGAAAGAAATCCAACGCGCCATCAGCTCTTTTTCCTTCATATAAGTTGCTGAAGTATCACATACCTCAGATTTGTTTAAGAACTTCAGCTGACCTATTTTGGCAATAATTAGTTGTCTCAGTGTCTCAGGGCTCTTCTCTGGGCCCAAAGGGTTATTCCAACACTGCAGTGACTCCAGACTTTGCAGTTTATCCAGTTCATTGACAAATGACCACTGGAACAGAAGTTGGAAAGAAATGTATTATTGATTTTTTTAAAAGAGCAATCTCTGAATCAACATGAAATTTCTATTTTGTTTCAGAACAACACATACTACTAGCTTCTGCCACCAGAACCACTAGAGAAATGACTACTTGGTTCTGCTACACAAAGAATATTATTTATGTAGGTATTTATTAATTTATTTTACTTGCAACAGCCTACTAAATACCACTTTCACTGGGCTTGTTCAGTTAAGAGAACATTTTTGAAGAAACTGAAAAAAATGAACCTGTGGAAAAGCAGAGAGATCAGGACGTGTTCAACAGGAAACAAGGAAGTGGGCATAGATTATGGAATAATGAGAAAGGGAGAGGTCCAGTGAAAAAAAAATGGGTAGGTCCAGGGACCATGCATCCTTATATACAACGTACTCCTCCCTGCCCAGCCTAGGGACTGAAGACTTATCCATTTAACTCACATAATCAAACATCAGGCCCATGTTTGATTATGTGAGTTAAATAGATAAGTTGGACAGAAGACAGGGAAGGGTGGTACCTTAGAGACTAACTATATGGGGTCTCAAATCACAAGAGGGACTGAATGGAGGAGTGTGGCTGGGACTAAAGCAAATTATGACTCCAGTTCTGGTACCTGGCACCTGTATTCACATTTAATTTCTCAGACAGGGATTCAATCCATTCTCTGAGAATGAACATACACCCGCTTGGCAATGATTCACTACATTCTACCAAATACCGGTAAGCCAACACACCCATGCAGTCAACTCAGACTTGCTCACTGAGTCACAATGGGACCCAAAGAGCAGTAGCGCATCTTTCTGTGCTCGGAGGCATTTCACCAATCCAACTTGCTGCTGATAGAACTGCATGCTGGGTTTGATCTCATGATGCTACTGCCATAAGGTTAGTCTACCCAGTCACTTCTGACACAATACAAGAAGAGCTATTCCTTTGAAAAGGAAGCAATTTAAACCAAAAAAACCCTGCGCCATATGACAACTTTCTAACAGCCTCCTTTGGGCACCCTGTAAACATCAGTAGTACAGGTTCCATGGATGCATTTCCCAATGCAGAAAAGAGTATAGGATCAAAAACATAGTAGAGGATTCACAAATATAAAGAATACAATATCATGGTTTACAGGTCTATTTTAAATGCTTGAAAATCCACCTTCCCTGGATTGCCTTGGAAGGGGGAGTGACATAGAGCAGTTAGTGTTTAAAACTAGGGAATGTTTGCAAACGGAGTTTTCCAGAGAGAGAGAGCCTTCCCCCAAACACCTTAATGTTGACAGATTCTACCAAGATCTTTTGCACAGACCTTGGGTTCTGCTCCTAGTCAGTCTCCCTTGGATGACTTTTTCCTCAGCTCACGCATGGCATCCACTACCCTGGGAGGAAGCAGCATGGAAAGAGTTTGACTCTCAGGATACATCTGAACTTGATGTGTTCGGACCAAACAAGACTATACTATGCATGCAAACCAGCAGGCTGTCAAGTCTGACGGGTTTCACATGAACAGTGTGGCTCAAGATTACCTGTGACGTGCAGAATTACAAAGCCTAATCTACAGCCAGTGTTAACTTGAATCTAACCTTTGGCAGAAAGCTTGGCAGGGGGGCAGAGAGGTAAGTAGCAAGATGCCTACATTTCCAATATGTCTCTGACAACAGGGTGATTTCAGAGGAGAGCAGAAAATGCAGAACGTGCTCAGATTACTTCCAAAATAAGTTACACATGCTGGAAGGGGAGGTGGGAGTAGGGAGGCAAGGGAATGGTGTTAAGTAGCAGCAGAGGGAAAAGAGGCTAGGATGACATATCAGGAGTGGTAGCAGGGCAAATGGTAGAGGAGAGGGGCAAAGGGCCTGTCAGACTCCCCCTGTATTAACGTGCTGAGATCTGGGGAGCCCCTCCCCTTTTGGGATCATACCTCACATGAGCAGGAAGCTTGGGGGGGCGGGGGTTGGCAGCCTGGTACAGAGCCCAGTTGGTGGGCAGAGCTTGAATCAGCATACAGACCGGGCCAAGTAAACACAGCAGTATGCCATACTCAGGGAACTGCTGCCTGAGAGCATGCTAGATGGCAAGTAGTAACTGTTTACATGTCAAAGGTTTCCAAAGTGCTAATGGCTCTGGGGAACCAGGCGAGAGGGAGGGGCCATCTATGGTGTGCGTATCCCCCCATTCCCACAAAAGTCTCCTCTCACTGAAAGTTGGAGCTGTGCTGAACAGGAACTGCCTTCAAATGACCTGAGCTGTATGCCAGGCCTGCCCCACAGGAAGCATTGCACCTGCTGAATTTTACCACCTCTTCACCCTTTTTCCAGCACCTCCCCTCCTTAGGCGCATGACATTGTACTGTCACTTACCCACAACCCACACTTAATCTCCCACCAAACAGCTGCCAATCCTCGTGGCAGGAAGCCCATGCCCCACTCTTGATGCAACCTACACATAGCAATGCTGGAAAGTGGCCTGCTGAATCTCACCAAGCACATAGCTTCGCTGCACTTTGATGACAAATATGGAAATCAGGTGGAGGAGGATCATACCAGCCCCAGAAGAGCACACAGCACAGTACCGAGGTGGCTCTCATCACAGTCACAGCTCTAAGCAGCTACTCTTAGCCTGACTACCATTCAGTATGGCTCCACCTGACACAGTGAATGTCCCTGTAATGCATAAAGACTATTCCCACTGACTATTGTCATCCCTAGAGATGCACAGGTATGATATGATTACAGGGACATGTATTTTTACTCTTTATTCCTGGTTTCCCAAAGTTTGACTTTTGCTGGAAAGATCCTAGAGATCCTACCAGCTAGCTAACTTTATCTCCTCATTCACTAAGTTTGTTGTCACTGAATCAATAATGTAAAACCATTCTAAAACCCAGAATCATTTTTCACCACAATTCACTGAGGCAGAAAAACAGAGGATGTCTACTAACTTCTCAGTTTGATTCCTGGCATTGAAATAGCAGAATCCTTGGGAGGATGTACTAGATTGGAAAAGCTAATCACCATAAACACATTGCAAGACGATTTATTAAAAATATTCAAGAAAGCAATTCTGTTAAAGGTCCATTTTAAAATGTTCATAACATCAAAAAAGTGTCTAGATTATTTAAAAAATGACAGAACTATCTCTTGCTTTCAACCCTTCACTTGTCAAATACCAGTTAGACAAACTGAGACATCAAAAGAAAGATCAATGGAAAAAAAAACTTATTTTTTAACACTTCACCAATTACAGGTACAGCGGTGAAAAGAAATGTTAACAGGTTTATCAAATCCACAACTGTCCCTTAATCTTAATTCTAATTTGAATGTGAATATTAATTCCCCATCTGGCAATATTTGCTCTGGCGACAAGATCTGGATGAATGAAACAGTCCTACAACTGGAAAATGAAAGCAATTAAGGTGCCTCAAATTATAAAATCCCCAAAATACCTCTTATGTCCTTAACTGTTGCTATGATTAAAGGAAATTCAGGGAAAGAAATATTCTACTTCTAAACAAATTAACACCAATCAAGAAAATAATCCATGGTTTAAAATCAAGCCTAGAGCTCATAATAATATATAAAATGCAATTAGGAAAATTGATAAGCAAATTTCAAAAAACAGGTCTAATAAAAACAAAGTTCTGAATGGTAAGAATTTTATTACAATTGATGAATTGACAGAGTCTCTGACCAACAAAAAACTTCTTCTAGTTCTGTTAAACACAACTCCATTAGAGATAAAAACAAAAGATTGAGAGCAAAATATTTAATTATTTAATCCACAGAGAATCTGATGATTTTTAGCCAAAAGATTTAACGTTTCTCTTTGGGTACTAGAAACCAGGGTTATTTATGTATCCATGCTGCAGTCCTTAAGACAATAAACTAGATTAACTCCTAAAACCAACTCATGGGGCACATCCAGGAGAGCATGGTCATGCAGTATGTGGCACTGCAAACATGTTTGAAGCGACACATAGCGCACGTCCGGTGTTCTCTGTGCTGCAAGGGCACACTACTCAAGCATGCGCTGCACTGTTTTTTTTTCTTGCGGGTTTTATTGACCCCTGGATATCCAGGGGTCAAAAAAAACCCATGGGGGAGGGAGAGGGGGAACAGCGAGCAGCGCTCTTGGGCACCAAGCACTGCTGAAAAGAGGAGCCGGGCGACTCAGAGCCACACTCCACTGCCAGCCAGGCTCCATGCAGCAGAATCGCCATGGCTGCAGTCCTGGAAGGCCCCTAGAGCCCCAGGTAAGGCTGCTGGGGCCAGCACAATGCTGGCCCCAGTTACGCCTACCGCCTCTGGGGTAACTTGCCATGTGCCAAAGTGTGCATGGCATGGGCATTCCCTGGGGACAAGCAGCTGCGGTACAAGGTGCGCCACTGATAGTTGTCCCCGGAGAACCAAACATCCATGCACGTCTGGATGCACCAATGGGAGAGTTATGTTGGGTACCTCGTAATAATCTGGGCAGCAATTTGTCCACTTAGGGTAGAAATTAAAGAAGATACTCTACCTCTCCGAAGTAAGAAATACAATAGATAATTGAGGACATTAACTCTTACCAACAATTGTCTAGTCATGTATATATTTAACAAAGTAAAACCAAAAAGTATATTTGCCATTCCTTATTAAACAACAACAAAAAAGAGAAAAAAAGAAAAAGAAAGGCATTATAATCTTACTTACCTGTGATATTTTGTTGTTATCTACTACAAGATGTTTCAACGAAGGAAACATTTTTGCCTTTTTCCCTAGGAAAAAGGGAATAAATTTACAAGATAATGACGACAATTTAAAGTCTTCTAAAATATGGAAATGTAACACACAATGTTTACTTTACATACCAAATTCAGCATCAGGAAAGCATACAGAAGAAATTCCAGTGTCTGAAAGTATTAGTTTTTCTAATCTGAAATGTAGATGTTAAAGTATGTTTGTTAAACATTTTAGTAAAAATACTGTCTTTTTTATATGCAATGATTTCTTGTCAACCCTTTTACTGCATACACTGTGATTTTTGAAGAGTACCAGTACCAGCAGGTAGGTTGGTTATCAGTTTAGTTACCAGTTTACTAATTATCAGTATTATTAATCTGGCTCCATATTTTTAATGGATGCAAAGCTAAATGCTGCTTAAAAGAAAGCAATTTTTTTTCCTCAATCGAATGCTCAAAGGCAGAGTAGCATTTCATGCTATCTCAAAGTTGTAACCACTACACATTCAGCTGAACCACCTCTTATAGAAAGTGATGTCTCCAAGATATATCTCTGTCCTTGGAAGGGTCTGAACAATTCTGAATTGTTATGACGGGTGGGATGGGAGAACAAAAATAAAATAAATTACAAAAATCAAATGAAATTGGCAGTAGAAACATGCCTTCATTTTGTTTGAATATTAAACGTTATAAAAGTGTGGAAATAAGGGTGTTTTTTTTCTTTTGTGGTGCACAACTGAAATATTTAACATAATCCGGAGGGAGGGGGTCCAATCTTGTTTTTTATTAAGTCAATATTATCATACTTCAGTCCACGAAGTATACATGAACTAATACATTTATGGAACATAAAAAAGAATTTGCAGTGAAGTTCTCTAACAGATACCTGGGGAGATGTGCTATTAGATGCAGCTGATTTCCATCAATTAACTGGTTGCTTGAAAGGTCTAGCAATTTCAGGGTCTGTAGAACATTAGTGGGCCTGCAGAATTAAAAACCATAACTACATTTTAGAGTTGTTTTAAAATACTTACACTCATTTACACTTATATAACTGAAATAACTATTTGCACAGGTAAGTGTCTCCACTCAAATAACATATCAAAGGTGTATTATACAAGATTACCATGGCAATGGTAATTCAGGCACTGCTGGAATTGAGTTTAGTATTTTTTCCAGACACATCATATCCTTATGTACACAGTATAACAATCATAAAAAGCTGACTTTAGCATTTAAGCTGAACCTCATACCTTTCTAAAACTGTAATATCATTAGATGCAAGGTACAATTCTTCAAGTGCTGGCCACCCTGGAGCACACAGAAGAACCTAATAGGAAAACTTCATTTAGTATAAAATAAAGGTAATAGCATTTGTATTCGAATGTGTGCTTCAAATAAGCATAAGACACATTCAAAACAAACTGTAGCTCTTACAAATAAGCAATCTGCAAGACTTTCTAATTCAATGGCTCTCCCATCTTAACAGTGATTTTGGATCTGTTGACTGTGGATGGAAGAAGTCAGCAGCACTTTGCACAGCCAGCAAACCCAACATTACTGAACTATACTGGGTCTGTACTTCAAAACTGACAGTGTTCCTATTCTAATTTTAAAATGATGTAGTAATGCCACCCCTCTCTTGCTTTGAGAGTCACTGCTTTTTACCTGAAATTTCATGTCTGATTCAAAGAATGCACAATTTGGTAAAGACCACTAAGATTAACTTGCTTCTAAGGGTGTAAACAGAAGCTACGTATTTCCCCAAGAGGAAGCCCTTTGTTTCAAGATCCTACAGAGAACCAATCCTTTGTCCCACTTTATCTTGCATACTTCCCTTGTATATAAAATGTGCTAACACTCCTACCATAATGCTGTATAATTTAAAAGTGGTTTAATTGCCAGTCATTTGAGGGACAAACCTATCAGGCTGTGTTCTCCCTGGCATTGAACAGCAATGCAGCTGGGAAGGGCTGTGCACGTAAAGGGCTTTGCAGCTCCTCTTTTGTCCCAGGTTTTGAGTTGGATCAATCCAAATTGCCTCATATGAGACATCTGTTTACAGACCAATACATTGGATTTTAAAGGTGTTGGGTACAGCCACGTTGGTCTAAGGACACGGGCAGCCAGGTTCTTTGGGTAAATATGATTTCTTTTATTAAACTAACTAATAGTTAAATTGTTGGAAAAATTGTTCTTTGCAAGCTTTTGGGTGCACACTCTTCTTCAGATATAGGGAGAGTCTGCTGGTGGTGTGCACGCTCTCCTGGGTGGACTAGAGGCCAATGAAAGCTTTCTGCAGTTTTGTATATAACCCTCTTAAACTGATAGCCCCCAAGCCACTGGTTTTCAAACTTCCTAAAGTCAAAAAACACTTTCAAATCACTTCTGCTGTGGAACCCCTATCCTTGGCTCCACAAGCCGTGTGAGCTAACATAAAACTAGGGGACTTGGCCTGGCAATAGTGGTGCACCGCCTCCTGGCCCCCTCTACCATAACCCCCAACTTCTTTGTGGAACCCCTGATGCTCTACCACAGACCCTTGAGGCTCTGCAGAACAGTTTGAAAACCAGTGCCATAGACAGTTAACATGTATTTTACCCCATAGTGCTAGACAGGCTCCCATGCAGGACTATTCAGGTTATTCAGGCCCCAAATATAACTCACGACTGTACTATAAATACACATCTGCACTCTGCACATCACACCATCTACCAGCTCAAAGAGCAGCTTTCCCTCAGGTGCCCAAACTACAGGAAGAAATGCCACTATATCTCACCTATTTTTGCCTCCAAGGTACAACACTGTCTCGTTTCCTTTGAGAAACTAAACTACCTCAGTTACCTTTCAGACTACATATCACTGATTATGAGTCACACACTTGTAATCCTATTCCGATTCTCATCCAACCATAACAGATGAAATAAGACAAAAATATGGAGTGAGCATTAGGGTTGTTTGTAGAACCATAACTGTGAATCACCTGACTTTCAAATGCACCAGTGATGCTTGCATTTCACTGGCTATAAACTATTTTACATTTTTTCTGGCTGGAGATTATATGTTGTACTTTAATCAAATGTCCGTAGGGAACTAAGGCAGTGCTTGGACACAATTTGGTTTCAGTGATCTGTTAATACAAATCTCATATGTATTTAGACCCCCGAGTGGTGTATTTAATGGGCCAATAAAACACAACCTTCAGTGCACTGAAACTGCCATAATGTGGATATTTCAAGGTTCCTTTATTTAGAAAAGCTGTTTTATAAAAAGTGTATCCTTCTACTATGAAAAACAGTTCAAAATGTAGGTATGAGAAAAACAGAAAAATTACAAACAATTCTATTCCTTGTGTTCTTATGGTGTATAGATGGTTGCGCTGTATGTTATTTTGAATAACTTTTCACCTTTCAAGTACTTTTCACATTAAATAAAAATATTTCCAGCATTTTCATATCCCTCTTCACATTCTCCAGGAGCCTAGTTGCAAACTAAGATTTTTTGGCTACCTGGGTCATAGGCTTTTTTTTTTTTGCTTTCTATTCCAAAATAGGTTGCATTTTCACAATTATTCCTAATGCAGCTTTTGCAGTAACATCTTCAAGGTGCTTCATCACAAAGCACTGCTGAAATGGCAGCCAGGTCCACTTTCAATTCGTCTTTCTCCCCTTGTCAGACTACCCAGCTCATCCAACCCCCACAGGTAGAAAAGCCATTTTCAAGTGCAAGCTTGTATTGAACTGTTGTTTACAACGGGAGTGCATTATTTTACTAACCTGACTGTATAAAGAAGCATTCAGACCTTAAAATACCTTTTCCACCCAAGGAGAGCTGGTGAGCTAGAGCTGAGCCTCACAGGAAAAGCAAGACAATTCTAAACTGCTCTTGCTAACCTGGGGGTTCTCTTTAAAAGTCAGTCACCCAGAAATAACTTTTGTCTGTATGAGAAAATCTTTGCTAAAAATCCCCATCACTGCTACCACTAGCATAGAGGAAAGCTGCTGATAGCTGCCAGTGTTTTAAGCACCATGATGTATAGACTTGCTCCGAGAAGGTTTATAAGTATGTAGTTAAAACCACCTAGGGTCTTTATCTATTCTAGTACTAATCCTACTGGTAGTGAGAGAGATGCATCTGCATCCAGCTGATTGCTTATTGGCTAGTGTAGAAATAAACACTGAACAAAACCACAAAAACCACACTCACTCTTCCATTCTTGCTGCTGTACACAATACACAGCAGATATCACTTAACAAAAGGGCAATTACAATTGGTTATGTTGAAAGGAATGGATCAGATTGGAGCACGCCTGGTGACGTTCCTCAGAACTGATCTTGGGATCATCCTGTTTAACATTTTCATGAGTGACCCTGGTACAGAAACTAAATATGCATTTATGAAATTTGCAAATGCTAGTCAGTGAGGCATTGTCAATAGAGAGGAGGGTCTGATTATCAGGCAGGGCAAATTAGATTGCCTTCTGGAAGGAAGTGACAGAAATGGCGAGAAGTTTAATAGTATAAAGTGCAAACTCAAATATTTAGGAACTAATGACAAGGCCGTCTGCTATATTACACGGGCTCACAGGCTGGAGTCAATGGAGGAAGAGGGAACTGGCTCTTCTGGTCTATTGTTGTATAGACATGAGCCATAAGTACATGCAGCCAACAGACAGACTACTGAAATCCTCAAACATATTAGTTTGGGTATTTTTAATAAAGACTGGAAAATACCAGTGCTACTATAAGAAGAAATTGGTAACACTCAATCTGGAATATTATGTGCAGTCCTCACCTATATTTGAAAAAGATTAATTCAGATCTGAGCAGGTCCAGAGAAGGGCCACTAGGGTAATTAGGGAAACACAACTTATGAAAAAAAAGCAAGAGAGCTTATCTTGTTAAGCAAAAGCAAAATGAAGGCTGAGAGGAAATGTAACTGCTCCTTATATAAATATCTGTGGGGTGAATAGCATGAAAGCAAGTTAAACAACAATACCAGGATAGGACTGAATGGATATAAACTAGTCACAAACAAATCTAGATGGATAATAGAAGCAGACTTTGAAGCATTAAAGATATCAGGTTCTAAAATAACCCTCCAAAAATAAGGGTAAGGAAGCTGATTTGCTTCAAGATGAAGCTCAACAAGGTTTACAGAAGAGACAGTAGAGTAGGAAAAATATGTTCTTGGTACAATAATCTGAGCATATTATACAAGGATTTCCATATCTGGTACTGCCCATGAAGGGACCAAAAAAGAAACTTAATCTCTATGTGGGATGATTTTAATCTGAAAATCTAGAATTTCTGATAGTCCTTTGTAGGGGCTAGGGGTTTGCTCTCTTCTAAAGCACTGGACATTGGCCACAGTGAGATGTAGGAATTTGACTGTGATGCACTGGTGTTCCGAAGGTACTAACACATTCTCAGGTACTTATATGCTAAGGCTGGTTCTTACCAGATATTCATTACCAAGTTTGGAGTCATGAAAGAATTTTTCTCTGAGTCAGACTAGCAAGGATGATGGAGGTTTTATTTGCCTTCATCTGCAGTGCAAGGGAGGGTCTTTTTTTTAGGAACCTCCTAACATTTTAACTTAATTTCCTGCTGTTGCTGTGGCAAGGTGCTGCAGGTGTCCTTGTTCTCCTGGTTCTTTATCTGTGCTGTGGTGTAGGGTTTTTTATTTAGCACTTTGTGGATGTGGTACATGAGAGAGATGGCAGTAGTGTTCTTATGCACATTTCTGGATATGGGTCATCTATAAAGGGGACAGGACTTAATGGCCCAGAAGGCTCCTTTCAGTCCTACTTCTTAAATGAATTGGAAGCGAAACTTTAAAGGTTTGTGCAAACAGCATGAAGTGTAGATGACAAAAGGCAGGTAAGGTGCTGAACAATCCAAATAAGGGGTGGACAGTGGGGGACTTTCAGGTTTGTAAGTCCCCCACTAAGTAACACTGGACAGAAAATGGGAGACTTTTATGCCATGTATATATGAGGAAAATGTAAGCAAGGTGTGAAGGAAGACTTATTAGTGAGGGAGAACACTCAGATGTTCAAGTCACTTTGCTATGTCAGAGTTTCAAACAAGCAGGAGTCACCACAGAAGTGACTGGACATTTACCAGCTCCTTTATAAACAAAGATATATTAAATGCCTACTGTGAAAGTGAACTATACTTCATAGGGAATGAAATGATCAAAGCATCTCAAGCAGTCACATAAAAGTGGCTTTGAACAATCAATGTACAAACAGCATTTTTTATTTTGCTCATCTTTATTAAAAAGATGCACCAGTGCAAATAAAACTTTAAAAAGAATCAATGCACTTTGCCACAAACTGCTAATGGAGGCACCATTAAATACAGGTTAAACCTGACTACAATTGAAAAAGTTATCCCTTGAAAAAATAACCTTTGAAAAAATTATCAAGGATCACATTTGTAGGAGTCCAGCAGGTAAAATAAATGCTAAAGGGCAACCAGCATGGGTTCACAGCAGGTAAATCCAGCCAGACTAACTTTGTTTCTTTCTATGACCAGGTTACTAAATGCTTAGATGCAGGAGTCGAGGTAGATGTCATCTACTTGGACTTAAGAAGGCCTTTGACATGGTGTTCCATCCTATTCTTATAAGCAAATTGAATGGCTGTGCCATAGATGATTACACAGTCATGTGGGTGGCAAATTGGCTTAAGGGGCGTACCCAGACAGTGGTGGTGGACAGGTCGGTATCGACCTCAAAAGACGTGGGCAGGCCGCAGCTGTTGTATTACGTCCAATTCTGTGCACCACAATTCAAGAAGGATGTGGACAACCTTGACAGGGTCCAGAGGAGGGCTACTAGTATGGTTAGAGGCCTGCAGAGAAGGCCCTATGAGGAAAGGCTGAGGGACCTGGACCTTTTCAGCCTCTGCAAGAAAAGGCTGAAGGGGGATCTTGTGGCAGTATACAAAATCACCAGGGCGGGCAGCAGGGAATAGGAGATGCTCTGTTTACCAGAGCACCCCTTGGAATAACCAGGAACAACAAGCTGATGGGGAGATTTAGGTTGGACATCAGGAAGAAATTCTTCATGGTTAGGGTAGCCGGACATCAGGAAGAAATTCTTCATGGCTAGTCTGACTCCAGAATACGGAACGGGCTTCCAAGGGAAGTGGTGTTCTCCCCTACTTTGGGGGTCTTCAGGAGGAAACTGGACAAGTACCTGGCTGAGGTCACATAACCCCAGCACTTTTTCCTGCCACTGGCAGGGGGTTGGACTTGATGCTCCACTGAGGTACCTTCCAACACTAGCATCTATGAATCTATAAATTGGCTTCAGTTAATTTGGCAAGTTGCCTGTGTAAGTGAAGATTAACTGTGTTTATGTCAGGGGTTTGAGCTACAGTTAAAGTGGCACAACTTTTATAACACAGACCAGACTTTGTTTTGGAAGACTGTGTGGTCTAACACAGCGTTTCTCAACCCATGGGTCCCTACCCAAAAGTGGGTCACAAGAATATATGAAAGGGTTGTGAACAAACTTAAAAAATACATCAACAAACTTTAAAAATGGATTCTCCTTTAAAGTAAAAAAACATGGGAAACTGACTGTGGATTTTCCCTTTCAGGTTGGCATAGTTTCAGCCTGCAAGGGGCTGCTTGGGGCCCCCCCATGCCCCACACACTCCCTCCCTGCCCCCCACCCTACACACTGGGGGCTGGGAGTAAGGGACACTGGGTCTGGACTGGCCACTGATGTGTACAAATGGGTCCTGGTACAAAAAGGATGAGAACAACTGGTCTAGTGTACTAATCTTCACTATGCTAATTTACTGAAGAAACCAAATGACTTACGAAGTAATTTCTGTTTATTTGTAGAAGTCAAATATTTATTACCTCCACCCATGTTACTCCAGTTCGATTAAGTGCCAGAACTCTCAGCTTGTCAAACGTACCAGATCCAGGGGTTGCAGCAGATGGAAATTTCATTTTGTTTTCACTGTACCAAAAGACCAAACAGATTCTTAGCATAAAACAAATCAAACTAAAATATTTGGTCAATTCACCAATTTAGAATAACATACTTGGGGGGGAGGAGGGGAAGAACACTTAGAATTAAATGAAATTAAAATTAAGTCAAGACTATAGTTATTTAAAACAGTCCATATTGTTTATAAAAAATGTTGGTAGTTTGAGTTCAGACTATGTCCTTGACCATTTTATTTTCCTCCTCCGCACATTTGTTGTTCCTTCAAGTTCATGACAAGGTGAGTGGCATTTTTTAAAATTCTGGAGAGAAGAATTGTTGGTTTTGCTAAAAGAAATAAATGTGACGCGTAAGATTTCACACTCAACATTATCAACCCTGTCTGTAGTTAAAAACAAGTTATCTACATAAATGATCAAATCACCAATAAAATATTAGGATTTCAAAGGATTCCATATCATCATAACAAAGAGGTAACATTAGAAAGCAAAACCTTATACAATTAAACAGCTTAATCCTTACACTAATTCTAGGTTCCATTTCCCCAACATCTTTTGCATTCCCTCCTTTAAGGCTTGTCTGTATGAGGACATTTTCTACATAGCTGTTCCAGTAAACTTCCTAATGCAGACAATCTCTTGGAGATCTGATGGCAGGCTTCCTCAGTTGCTTTCTCCTCCCTATGCTTCTATCCCATCCCTCCCCACCCCCTTCCCAAATTGTTTATACTGAAATGTTACAATCATTTAGAAAAAGCTGTAAATTAGAAAACGAACAAATTTATGACAAAAAGGGCCAACCAAATGGAAAAAGCCATTCATGCTATCCCTGTTTAAAGTTATTAAGGTTTAGGTTTGTCACGGGATATATGTGAGTTTCAACAAATGGTAACATGCCAGGCATTAAAGAAATTTGTCTCAGGGTAAAAATGAGGGGTCTTCCAATGAAAATGATAGATCTGTGACAAAGAGGTTACTCTTTAAAGAGGAACTTCTTTGTCCTGCCAAAAAAATATTAACATCTAGCCAGGTAGAAAGACTCCCACAACCCCACTGTGCTCTGTTCTTCTTCTCCCCCTCCAAGGGGAGGTAGGGAAAACAGATGGCTCCATGCCAGCTTGCTAAGAAGCAAGTTATCAGGGAGGTAGGCAAGCTGCCCTGTCTGTCACTAGCAGTTGTGCCCAGGCAGGAAAACCAGTGTCACTGACCCGTCAGGTTGCTCTCTCAGCACACCCACCAGCCCAGGGGTGGAGTGCCATTCAGCAGTGTCCTGGCTCCCAGGGTTAATGTGTGCCCTTTGAAGATCCCAGCATTCCTGGGCTGTGGGTGCACGCTTTGAAGGTCCCTGTATGCCTGCTACCCAAAAGCAGGACCGCTGATTACCAGTAGTCATTTACATGTCAACTAATGCCACTTCCAACCCAACCCATGCTGCACCAGTCAACAGGCAGTGGCAGTCCAGGATCCTGAGCTGTGGGAGTACTGGGGTTGTGTGCATGCTGTTTTAAGGTCCTAGGACTGTCCATGACCACCACCCAAGTTCTGATGAGCCCTCTGAAGGTCTGAGTGCTCCTAGGGGTAGGCACTCTCAGCCTGGATACCAAGAGCTGCAGACATGCTCTTTGAAGGTCCTGGCACCATGGGCTGCCAACATACTCTCTGAAGGTCCCAGGGGGGC